TGTGTTTATAGATATGAATGATTGTACTGTTTTGAAGTTTTCAATTTCAATCGTACAAGTTAAAAAAATTCAAACCATTATCGGAATTTCCTATTCCAAAATTATGTCTTTGACGAGATTTGGGAGTGCGCCTTAATTTGATTGTTTAAGCGTCAATCAATTAAGCTCGGGCTCTTTTCCTTGATAGTTTAAGGTCATCCAAACAAATACCTATGACACCATATTTTAAGGTCATCCAAACAAATACCTATGACACCATATTCTCAATGGGCATTTTTCTGCACCATTAACTTTAGTTTACAAAGATGTCTACTCTCAATAAAATTTTAAACTGTCTTACTAATAAGGAGTGGTTTTCCTTCATGCAAACAGGGCAGACCAACGGATGGTAGGGGTAATAGAAATAAAATTCAAAGTAGATAGGAAAGTATATTACTCTTTCTGTTTTAGAGGAGAATGTAACAAGATGAGAAAATACATATTGCATGGAACAAGAAATAATGGTGTATATTACATAATTGTATTACTAATACATATACAATGAAAGAACAACCACAAGATTGTGTGGGGCACAATTATCTTTTCACAAAGTTCATTTCTCTCTAAAAATCCTTATGGTATCAGAGCTATTGCTCCTTGTGTTTCTATCTGTAAAATACAGCCGATAGAGAGCAAATTCAAAAGTAACATCTTATAATCATTAAAGGTTACTCCACCACTCAGGTTCGACCCTCTTTCATTCTTTTTATTTTCATGTCCCTTGTGATATTCTCATATATCTTTTTTTTTTTTCCTTGTTTTGTCTTCCAATTGTCTTGTTTTTACGTCCTGTTTTATTTTCACGTCTTTCTCTAAATTTCTTCTTCCATACCTTCCATCATCTTCATCTATCATCATCTTCTATATTAAGCCATACCTTCCATCATCTCCGTTATATTATTTGGTTAAACCATCAATTTCATATTCCTCTCTCACGTTTTTTATTTCAGCCATTCAAAACCCACTCTCTAACTTTTATTTGCTGCGCCTCTCTTAGCTCATCAATTTCTTTCCAAATATTTCTTTATTCCAATTGAATTTTATATCCTCAATGTTCACGTATGCCTATCCCTCTATCCTTGATATAGGAAACCTTATTTCTATGAAGTTGACACAAAACAACTATCTATTATGGAAAACTCAAATGCTCTCTCTCATTGAAAGTCAAGAACTTGTTGGATTCATTAATAGTGATTGCCCTACACCAAACCAAAAGATTTCCTCTTATGATGGTAACAAGTTCAGTTGGTCCCAACCTGGACCTGCCCTGGCTTGGTAGGGTCCATGTTGGACTTAGATCTTGATCCGATCTGGATCAAGTCCAAGTCATTTGAACCCAGACACAAACCTACGGGGTCCAAAACTTGGACCTAGGCCAATTGCCACCCCTAGCAAATGGATTGATGAAAGATGGTGTACAAAAACAAACAATTGTATTTAAAGGCCAAATATAGAGGCCTAATTCTACTAGAATTCCACATTTCTTTGAAAATGCACAAAATCTAAAGGAACGCTGTCAACTTTATAATATAGAAGTAAGGTACATCTCAAAAATCCACCCTCAAAGATTGTTTCGATATCTAAAAACCGTGCAATTGATCATCTCAACCTCGATATATATGAATATGAAAAATAGAAAAAAGATGTCAAGTCCTAAAGATAATGCATCTGGAAGTATATATTATCTAGACCGTCCATTTTCAAAACAAAATAAATGTTCATAGATCTACTCGACCTATACCATTCTTGGAGCTTTAAATTTCATAATTATGGTGAAACTAGATTTTAATGCCATCATAAAGGTTTTCGGCACCGGAAGTACATTTTTTACCTGGATTGAGAGTTTTGCATTACTTTGATTGTTTAAGATTGACATACAATATTTTCCAAATTTGGAAATATGAGGGCATTTGGGTGATTGGAGATGATAATGGGTAAAAAGCCTATAATCGCCATTTCCAATTCTTGAAAGGGTTCGAATAATCTGAGTATGCACCTGAAGATCCAACTGCTTGTTTCCGTGACTTGGTGTTCAAACTCTAGCTGCTATCTTTCATATCATCTTGTGTTTGAGGGAAAGTGTGAAAAGAAAGTATATATTGTATATCCAGTTAATATAGAAGTTGTATATTGTAATTACTAAATATGATAATGGTAGGATATTGTGTCCTGTATTTTATTGTAAGTTTGAGTATAGTTTAGGTATCTATGATTTAGTTTCTATTACTATCATTTGTAATTTGTCTATAAAAAACAAGTCTCTATACTCATATCAATTATTGGATACTGAGTTTCTTTTGAGAAACTTGAGATTCTTCACATATATAACCCAAATTATTATAAAAAAGAGTAATGATCCTTTGAGACCCTCCCACACCCATGTGTGTAGGACCCCAAATGATCACCACTAAATTTAGTACAGGTCTTTAAAAAAGTTATCACATAGGTGTTTAAAAAAGTTATCACATGGGTGTGGGACTTGACTTTTCTAAAGATCAGTGTCAAATTTAATGGTGATCTTTTAGGGTGGGAGGGTGGTCATTTCCCTATAAAAAATTATACTATTAACATTTTTATTATTATTGTTGATATTTAGCAGCTTGATGTTTCTAAGTTTGGATGTTAGGTGTAGCGTGAATGCAAAGGTCACATTTTCTCCCATGTCTCCAATTCTATTTCTTTTATTATTATTATTATTGATGGCAACAACATATTTTTTATGTAAGAAAAATATATAACAGGGGATTTTACATAAATATCTCTAACATTTTTCATAATTTTAAAAGTATCTCCAGTATTATGCATTTTACATTTTATATTTATATCTTGTTTTATAATATAGTAACCACTATTCCAATTTTATCATTCGTCTATACATTGTATTAAACTTTTGTATATCCGTACTTCACACTATGTAAAAATATAAAATAATTAATCAATAAATTGAGAAAAATATCTGAACAAATTTTAGGGGTTTTTATGGATATTTATTTATTTAAATTTATTATTTTTTTACCATGTATGTACAGAGAAGTATGGGCACTCAAAATTTGAGATTAGTATGAGATATTGCAAAAAATTAAAATTAGAGTTAGATAAACGCTCTAAAAAAGTAGGATATAAGTGTAAAATATAAAAGGAAAGTACATAATAAGACCATTTATCTTTGGTATAAAGCGGTCACAGTTAATCCTTGACCATTAGATGTGAAATCGTGTGGTTGCATTTATTTCATTGACCAAGCTAAAAATTCAAAAGAAATTTTTTCGAGCTTTGTGATACACCCAAGCTATCAGGTTTCACATCGAACGGTTATAAACAATTGCGACTTCCTCATATTAAAGGTAAATGGTCTCATTGTATACAATTCCAAATATAAAATATCATGAATAATTTAAAATTAGCAGGATAAGGGATTCACTATATAGCTAAGGGATATTTATGCAAATTTCTCGTATTCGTTATTATACATTTTTACTATTATATTGTTGGTGTTGTTGTTATTACTATCATATTATGGCATTGTATACAATGATATATTTTACCTTTGATATAAGGAGGTCACAATTATACCTTTTACCATAAGTTATGAAATCATAGGGTGTGCCACAAAATTCAAGATTATTTTAAAGTTTGAGCTTGGTCAATGAATAAAATGCAACTACCTAATTTCACTTCCAATGGTTAAGATTAATTGTGATGGTATAAGACCAAAGATAAATAATCTCATTATATACTTTTTTTTCTCATAAAATTACAAAAAAGCCCCAAATATATATTTCCTATGCAACTTAACCCCAACATAATATTTTCTCTTAATTTTTACCCCAAACCATGCTTTTCTAACAAATACCCCCAACCCAAACAAAAAAAGACTAAACTACCCTAACACTTTTACCCACGCCTCTCTTTCTCACCTCTTTCCCTTGTTCGGTCAAAACTGCGGTCCCGCAGTTCAAAACAAGCAGTTTAGCACTTTCGTTTTGGTCAAAACTGCAGTCCAGTCAAAACAAGCGGTCTGGCACTTTTCGTTTTGGTCAAAACTGTGATTCGACAAAACAGACATGCGGTCCGGCACTTTCGTTCTGATCAAAACTGCAATCCAGCAACTTGAATAAGGGATTCGACGTTGCTGCTTCTAGACAAAAGTGCGGTCCGACAAAACAGACACTTTCGACACTTTTTTTTGTGGACAAAAGTGCGGTTTGACAAATTGAACAAACGGTCCGATAGCCCATGTGGCTTTTGGTACTATTTTTTGTGGACAAAAGTGCGGTTTGACAAATTGAACAAGCGGTCCGATAGCCAATGTGGCTTTTGGTACTATACGTATGCCATGTGAATATCCAGCCAAAATTAATTCTTTTTGTACCAAAAGGGTATTTTCATAAAAACAAATGTGCTTTTTTGTATATCGGGGTACTCGCTAAGAACGTATATTGAAAGGCAAAAAAAATGAGAGAAATATTTGAGTTGGGGTAAGTTGCAAAAAAAGTTTGTCACTAGGAGTTATTCGTAATTCTTTGTTCTTTTTCATATATTATTATTATTAGGGATATTATTATTATTTACTCCATTTCCCTTTTTTATTATTATTATTATTATTATTATTATTTCCTTGAAAAAAGTTACAAAACAAGAGCATTAAGAGTAGGACCGTATGCGAAGAATTCTAGAAGAGTTATATCCGTATTACAAGTGATTATCTGTCAACGCAATGATTCGATCATAGGTTTTTCCAATATTCAATAGCAGATCTTTTCAATAATTTTATTTATAACATAAAATTCAAAAAAACAATAAATGTTCTTAATAATTTTACTTATAACATAAAATAAAAAAAAACAATAAATGTTCTTAATAATTTTACTTATAACATAAAATAAAAAAAAACAATAAATGTTCTCATTATATACAGCACCTTTTTATATATGTATATATAGTATTTGGGATGAGTGAGACTCCACCTAATCTGTTTCAACGCCTTGGATTCCCCTAGATTCAAGCATTCCGCTAGATTCAAGCATTCTCTCGTTTTCATAGTATCAATTTGTATTTAATCACAGGAGAAAAACCCAGTTGATATTTGTCTAAATTTCTATGGCAGTTGAATCCAAATGGGTGCGAAGATATTTCCCGGTATTTCTCTTAGAATTTTTGTCTCTTTTTTTGGTGCCCATTATCTTTATAATCTGCTAGTTCTTGGGCTTACAGGATGGTGAATTGTTAATGGGTTTTATTTTGTTTTTATGAAGAATTTAGTTTGTGAATTCGAGTTGGTTTCTTTAATATTATTTATGTGAATTCAATTTGGGTTTTTGGGTTTCATTTTTTATTCTAAATGAATTCATTTTCAAGTGCTTGTCTGTGGATTCTACATGGGTTTTGGGTGTTTTCCTATTAATTTTCTCTCTCTAGACTTTGACTGTTAATTTGGTTCTTCTCTTTCCTTTTTTTACTTGGGTCTCTTTCAGGAGGGTAATGGAGATTTAGGGTTTTCTGATTAAGTCAGGTGATGGAGGCTTGGTGATTATCACTAAGATGGGAAATTCATTTGGGTGCTCGGGTTCTGGTGAGCGCCTCGTTTCAGCTGCAAGAGATGGGGATCTGGTTGAAGCTCGAATGCTCTTGGAGTTCAATCCATGCCTCGCAAAATACTCGACTTTTGGTGGGCTTAATTCACCTCTTCATTTTGCTGCTGCGAAAGGCCACAATGAGGTGCTCTAAATTTTTGATATTTCAGAAAATCTCCCCTTCTCTCCTCTACTTACCTGTGTTTTTTTTTTTTGTGAGTATGTGTCTTTTATTGTTTGGGCAATAATCGAATGATTCGTTTGTGTTTTGGGTGTGGCAGATCGTTACGTTGTTGCTGGAACATGGTGCAGATGTCAACTCTAGGAATTATTGTGGTCAGGTGTGGGTTTTCCTAATTATATTTTTTGCTTTTGTTTCATTCTCTCTCTCTCTAGTTTTTTTTTTTTTGTTCGTTTTGATAGGCATGATCGTGGTTGTTATGTGATGTCTATTTTAAATTTCACAACCAATCTTGTCTGATTAATTCCTTGATGCTTGATTTGGGATATAACTGGACTTCTGTTGAGCCCTGGATTCTTCTGATCCTTTCTTCTTTGAAGATTAGTCTTGATGCTTTTGAAATCAAGGTTCTATGTTTCTGATAGTTTTGATGAGGCCTTGCCAATATTCCCCTACCTACTTCTGTAGCAGCTGTTGCTTAAAGAAAAATCTAAAAAAAGAAACTATACGTTAATCCTGTAAATGACTAGCTCTAGTGGAATTAGTATCGTCATTATTCTCATTTTTAATGGTATTATTAATAGCATTTCATAATGGTTACAGAGCTATTGGTCTGCTTTGTTGTATATGCCTTGCAATTGTTTTCTTGCAATGTCCCATTATTTCATTCTGCTTTTGTTGGGATGACCAAGAAAAACTAAACAAAAATCGGCTTTGGTTTAAACTTGTAATTGAGTGTTATCTTTGTATTGTAATTTTTATTTGTTAACTCATTTTTAATGATTTGTGTAGAAACATATACAAGTAGGAATGAGCATATAGAAGTTTGAGCCTAGAGTGTTATCCTTTGTATTGCAGACAGCATTGATGCATGCATGCCGATATGGGCATTGGGAGGTGGTTCAAACCCTTCTACTCTACAGAGCCAATGTAAATACTCTCTCTCTCTCTCTCTCTCTCTCTCTCTCTCTCATACACACACATGTGCACACACCATATGGTTTATTAAGTTTTCTCTTCTTATGATTTTAGTACATGACTAGGTTATTTTTTCAGGTTACAAGAGCAGACTACCTGAGTGGTAGGACAGCTTTGCATTTTGCAGCTGTAAATGGTCATGTACGGTGCATTAGACTTGTAGTTGCAGATTTTATCCCAAGTGCTCCTTATGAGTCCACTTCCTCGACCAATGATGATCAATGCGATAGATCTTCTTTGAGGAGCAGATATGACCAATAGTATGTCACTTTTTGTTCCTTTCTAATAATTATTTCTTGCCCATTGGCTCTTTGTTACTAGACTCTCCTATAGTTTTTTCTTCTTTTTTCTTTTTTTTTTTTCCGGTTTTTTTTTTGGGGGGGGGGGGAGGGAGGTCGGGTTTGGGTAACTCAAACTACAATTGACAATTCTCAAGGAACATTTAAGCACTCTGAACCCCTGCATAGCTACCACTTCTAGATGCTTGGCTAACTTGGATTAACAGCTTTCAGTCATGTGGAGATACAAGTATTTTCATTGATGAATTCTGAAATATTGGATCTTAAGTTTGCCTGATGAATCTATGATCTTCTTGTTTTTTAAATAGCCACTTTGGATATGGCTGAGGACTACTAGCTATACTACTTACTGATCATAAATATTTTGGTGACCTTTTTATTTGGGTGGAACTTTAGAGGATCTTTTGGATAGAGTCTGTTCCCTTTTCATTGTTTATCTATTTTCCTTACATTTTTAATATTGATTTTGTTTTATGGTACCTTTGTTTATGAGTTGAGTTCATTCTTTGTCAGTGCTCTATCCAAGTTTGTGAACAAGGCAGCCGATGGTGGCATAACAGCTCTTCATATGGCTGCATTGAATGGACATTCTGATTGTGTACAGTTGCTGCTCGATATTCATGCAAATGTTTCTTCTGTGACTTTCCACTATGGCGCATCTATGGATTTGATAGGTGGATTTTGTTATTCTTTTTAGCTATAAACTGTCATTCTGGTGCACTTCTTATTTTCCATTCGAGAGATAATTAGCCTTTAAAGGTATTATTCTATAACCATATTTTCTCTTTTTAGGAGCTGGAAGTACTCCTTTGCATTATGCTGCATGTGGAGGAAATCTGAAATGTTGCCAGGTAGGGCCACTTGAATTTTGTATTATCTTCGAACATGATTTAGGAATCTGCATGGCTGTAGATTTTTCTATAATGGATGAATACATAGATGAATATTTTGATATTTTGCCTCTTGGTGTCTCCTCAGATCCTTCTTTCAAGACGTGCTAGCCGGTTGACATTGAACTGCAATGGGTACCTTCCCCAAACTTGCGTCCTAGTTACCGTATTCGCTGGAAATTTTGCCTCTTAAGTCTTTGCCATTTAATTCCCTGGTTAAAACCAAAATATCTATTTTCTTTTTATTCATAGCTGATGTTGCTTACATAAAGATTTATATCTTCATGCAGGTGGCTACCTCTTGATGTTGCTAGAATATGGGGTCGTCATTGCCTGGAGCCATTGTTGGCACCAATTTCTGACTTGACCTTGCCCACTTTCCCACCATCCAACTTTCTATCGTTGCCTCTAATGAGCATACTCAATATAGCCAGGTACCTTTGACATTCATGTTGTTGAATTCTAAAACAAATCCGTGGTTACGTTTTCCATTCAATTTATGGCACTTGTAAAGTTGTAATTCACATAGGCCCAACCCAATGAATTATTGCCTCATACATTTTACATTCTTGAATAAACATATTATTCTCTGCCTATTCTGATTTCCTGGATTGCATTTATAGTGCTGTAGTAGGCCTCTGACTCTTCCTATTCAAAATTGTGGATTAACTTGATATTTAATATGTCATGGAATGTCTCTTCAACACCAAGTCTTTCAAACAATGCTTCATGCAAGTTTAAAAGTCTAAATCAAATTATAAGATACCTCTACCTCCTATGTCACCTGTCTATTACGACCATGTTCCCTCTCTTGGGATATGAGTTACATCCCAAACACAAACACTAGATAATAAATCCCTTAGTTTCACAAGCCTTTAAACCAGTGAAAACAAATAAATGATCCCGCCATAATGACTGGGATTCCCAACATCTCCAGTTAAAATTGATGTACTGTCTGTATTACCTATATCTTTTGTGTAACATAGTTTGTATCTCATCCTAGCCGATCTCATATGATATCATTGTATCTGATGATATCTTTCAGTGCCTTTGGGCCACTTGATCTGGTAAAGATCAAGGGGCGTGGTTAACTTCTGCATGGGCTTGAGATCATCCAATTCTATATTAAACCTCACTGCAACAGTGATTGTGGTGGATTCTTTTGTGTTCCACTATTTTCTCAATAAATCGGTGAACTTGTGGTTCACTATTACTGTAGGGTTCTCGGGAACCCCTAGCATGTGGAACCGGGAATCCCAAATACCAAGATTGCCTCCAAGATCGTGTACATGATTGGCTAAATGCGAAGTAGATGAATACAGTTATAAATCGAATGCGCGAAATAAAAAAAAAAAAAAAATAACACCACCAAAACACACGATTTACGTGGTTCACCCCGTAGGGCTACATCCACGGCCTCAACAAGTATAAGTCTACTATCACAATGAAGATTATAAATTTGGGTTATAAGAGATAATATCTCTCTCTAAACATCGGTAAAAAACCCTCACCGATCTTCCCTTCTGAACCTGCTCTCCCGACCGAGTAACACGTCGATCAATATCTTTCCCACCATTATACCATTATCAAAAAGAGTATATTGAGAGCAACCAAGAGATTTTCTCTCTCTAGAAGTGAAAAACTTAACTAACCCAAAATCCCATAGGAATACCTCCTCTTAGAAACCATGTCTCTCTCTCTTGGAGGCCCATCTCCATCTTGGAGATCCCTTCCCATAACTCCCAAAGGGTGACCCTCAAAAAGATGGGTATCATGTCTTCATTGACTCTCTTTTATAGATATCACTTTCTTGTTTTTCAAGAAAGTCCCTTTTCTTTTTACAATAATGCCTTTAATCTTTTAGAAGAAAATATGGGTATGGTGATTTAGCTATCACGTAACCCAACAATAACTCCTTTCTTACTTACATTAAGAACATGTCTTACCTAGAAGCATAGCGGTCTATGGTAAGGATCTTCTCCTTACACTAAATAATAATGACAGGGCATCCTTCCTTCAGATCTAAAGGCCAAAAACAGCCATTCTGTGCCATCTCACAATTAATGGTACACAAAGTTTGTAATTTCCTTTTTTTTTACTTTTCTTTTTTTTTTGGAAAGTTGAACAAAAAAGAAAGAAAATTTCCTTGATATTGGATTTCACACCATTTTATTGTGCCTCGTGCTGTTATATAAATCCTGGCTGTTACCAAAAAGCTTGCGTAGTTGCTACCTTCTTGTTCTATGTTTTCCTTGTAAGCTTCCAACTAATCCCTTGGGGCTCTACTAAAAATCATTTCCTTACTTTGTGCTCTAGACTTTTACCACTACTCCAATCTAGAGAGAGCGAATACCTAAAACCTTCTTTACCCACTTGTCGTTTATATATGACATTTATCCCCATTACCCAGAACTATACCCTTAAAACATTTCCATTTCCATAGCCTCTAAGAAATAGCTGAATTATACAGCGCTGTCAATTGTGCCAGACAGACTTTATGCAAAGATATAGTTTATCACAAAAGTGTCACAAGTTGTTCTTATTGTCTGTAGACTATTCTATGACTTCCCTGTGACCAATTTGATGGTGGTTCCCAACTTCTTTCGTGCACTAAAACGCCAACTCAACTATGGAGAACTATAGTCCACTTGGGTGATCACATCCAATCAAATGAGGGATGTGAGGGAGAGAGAGTGGACCTACCACTCCGGCCATGGCTTCTGGTAGCCCCAATCTTTTATTCATCGCCTTTCATCATTTGATTGGATGCTGATAGCACCTAGGGACTGTGGTTTCTGGAATATACAGGGTTATCATATACATATACTTTTCCTTTCTTTTACTATCAGTTGGGTGACAGACTTTGGTTTAGATCTGGCCATCATCATTTCCTAAGCTCACGGTGACATTTGAATTTGTCAATGCATGTGATTTTTTGTGATTGAAGATGAAGAGCAAATCTAATCTTAATCTGTTATACTGTGTGATGAAAAGTTGCTGCTTGCTTTTAAGCTTTAGTTCTCTTCTCCAAAGTCACTTGTTTGTGTACCTTGCATAATAAGCAAAATATCTAAATTGCGCCTTATCAAATATATATGGGATGGTTCTTTTCCTGAGAAATGGTGACTCATAATATTTTATTTTATTTTTGAAAATGTTAACTGTTATATATATAGAGAGGAGTGAGTACAAAAAGAAAGAGAGAAGTGCTATTCCACAGCCGGAAAGCAAACAGAACCCTTATGCCAAGGGGGATGAGAGAGAGTAGAATAAAAAAGCATCTTTTTATTAGTTACAATGCAAAGAACACAGCAACCAACAAAAAGATGTCTCTCTCATCCCCCTTATGCCAAGGGGGAATGAGAGAGAGCAGAATCAAAAATTATTATGGTGGCTGATAATATTGATTATAATAACAAGGGAAAGCTTTCTATGCTTCCCCTACGGCATAAAACTATATACTTGCCCCTATCCAACTCTCCATTCTGAATGGAGGGCTAAGATTGCCCCAATCACAATGTCACGTCTCTACACTATTTTATTTTTAATTTTTTTTTTTTATAAACTATTTTGACACCAAATTTTGGACGTTCAATCCTCTATTAAACGCGCACTAGCAAAAAATATAAAACAAATATTTTCAATAAAATAAAATGACCAAATACCCCTGAAAATTTTCAAGGGGTATTTTGGTCATTATATTTTATTGAAAATTATTTTTAATATTTTTTATAGGTTTGCCCCAATGAGAAGATGGCACGTACCAAATTTCATATTCATACAATTTGTATAAAAAAAACTAAAAATAAAATACTTTGAGACGTTGGATCTAAGATCAAACGGTGAGTGGCTCTCTTGATCAAAATTGGATGGCTGGATGGTAGGGGAAGCATAGATCTTCTATGCTGTAGGGGAAGTATGGGAACTTTTCCCTATTAACAATACAGAGAGACTTTTGTATAGTTGACTGGCCAACAATTGGCATAAAATTTGTAAAAGAAACCACCAAAAAACGAGCCCCTCTAGGGTTGGGGATGAATAATTATGAAATTTGAACTGGTAGTCCCCTTTTTGTTGCAAAGACATTTGTAATGATCTATTAAGTTTGAAAAGATTTGGTTAAATACTTGGCTTCAATTTCCTGGGGCAAGTGACTAACCGATTTGCCAAGTTAATGACATTCTTGGATTATCCGTCATCCACCAAGAAGGAGTCCCAAGTCCAATTGAACAGTTTAAGGTCTTCTAGGCGGGTGTGAGCCTCGGCAAGGTCCATGTTGGGATGCCAATCTACTTTGAGTGGACAGTAGCATGCCAGCTGTACTGTTTCTCAAACCTCTGCCAATGGCTCCCAGCATATAAGCAACCATCAAAATTCAGTTTGATGGTGCCTATTCCGGCACTAAGCAGTGAGTAGATCTTGTTATGAACATCAGCGTGGACCTTGTAATGGCATTCCAGTTATGCAAAAGTCCGTTGCTGACTAGACCTTGAACTCCTTCCATTGTCTTGCCCATTCTGTAACAGTAGATGTAAATGTGTCCTTTATAGCTTGTACCTGAGATTCCTACCCCAGAAATCCGCAAACTACCTTGTATTTTCATTTTTCATCTAGAAGCTCCCTTGACATTTTATTCTTGAGAAATCTAGGCATCATATTGTATTTTTCCATGAGCTTCCTTGACTTGTAATCAGTGTTCACGTTTATGAGAATTTGATTAGTACCTTCACTTCCATACAGAGAATGTGGGTTGCAGTCAACGAGTGCCTCCTCTGATGATGGCGATCTTTGTGCTGTCTGCCTGGAGAGAGTTTGTACAGTTGCTGCAGATGGTAAGTTTCCCCAGTTCTATATTTTATTCTAGTGCTGATGTAAATGCGAAAAAAAATGTCAAGTAATGTAGACCACTAGCTGTTTATGAAAGCATTATTGGATTGCTTGAGAGACGTTTTATGTTTCATGGGATAATAAAACTGCTGAATAAGTAACAGAATAATGGTGTTTCAGTGTTTGTCTTGGTCTCCAGGACATTTTACAAAGATCCGTACTGATCATCATTTCTCAACTTGTAAGACCAAAGCTGTAAACCCTTTCAAACATTTCTTGGAACCTTTTAGTACTTATTTAGATGCTCCCCTTCATATCTTCAGTCAGGATTCAGCCCTAAAGGGGATGAGCTTTGGAACTCATGTTCATGTAAGAACTCTTCAGATTTTTATTTATGCTTTGCGATCATATGCATCATATTTGAGGTACTCTTGTGATAAGTTCCTTTCGTTGGCCCTTTACTAATGTTTTCTTAGTGTGGATCTCAATTCCAGTGTTATCCTGTTTGGCACTTAATCACAGATATTGAGTTTTCAACAAAGTCTCACATTGTTTGGTTACTGTGGGAAATTATTTTCCTTCATTGCTGTTTGAAGTTAAGAATTTACTGAGAATTAATTAGTAATAGTTATATTGGGCATCAGATTTTGATTTCTTTGGAGTTCAGACACACAAACACATGGCTATCATGCACATACATATGGACATGTGCTTGCACACATGTTTGGGAAGGGTGGGGTGGGGGGGGGGAGAGAGAGAGAGAGAGAGAGGTAGGGTTGGTAGGACGAGAGTGAGAGAGAGAGAGAGAGAGAGAGAGAGAGGAGGGTGGGTGGTGGTAGAGAGTAGAAGAAGGAAGGGAAGGGAGGGAGGGTAGGTAGTACGTACGTACCGTACGTACGTTACGTTACGTTAACGTAGTACGT